AATGGACTTTATTAGATACATTTGTTCTACTGCAAAATGTTCTGCAGTATTGTTTCTACACCTCATGATAATATCAAACTGAACTAGTATTCCTGATGGATGCATTAATTTATCGAAATACAGATAAATGTAGGTAATATTGTCAGTCACGACATTTGTACATTAAGAACACATCAAAAATCATTGTTTTTAAATCACGACAACGTGCTGACCTGATAGCAGTACACGTACATTCAAAATGAAATGTTAACTTTAACCAACGACACTCGAGAACATACTTGTTTAATACGTTATAATTACATACTTGTTTGGAAAATAAAACTTTTTATTTGAACGAAGTTTCTGTTTGTCAAGCAATTATATTACCACGTGCAACAACAAATCACTTTGTTTTGTTCGGCTTACTCAGGAAGATATGCTTCAGATAGTAAGAATAGCATGATAATATAGAACCCTTCTCTTGTTTTATCTCTTAACTTTCTGCTGTATCTCAATAAAACACACAACAAATCGTAAAAATATTGAATGATGACAGTTTTATGACGACGATTCGTAGATTGCAGTAAAATACAATAAAACCGAAAGGCGAAATACAGCGAAATAGTTCATTTCAAACGTCAGAATGAAAAAGCGCTGTCAGCGGTTGCAAGCGGCTGGATTAGAAAATGTGGCGATGAATGTAAAGTTGGCTGCAGCAGGCGGATGCTTGGTTTTATTTCGAACGAGGTTTGTCGGCGCCGTCACTCACGACGTGTTACTTTTTTATTGCCTCGTTTTTTGCATTATAGTTTGATGGCGTCTATGTTGATACTGAGGTTTTCAATGTACCGCAACCATGACGAGCGTTGCGAATGGAATTTCACTTATTTTTTCAAAGGAAACAAGACTTAGGTACTGATAAACTATGTACATTCATATTAATATTATATTTGAAGATATAATTGCACTTAATGTCTACAAGTTTTTCAGAAAACACTCGCTTAGACAATGTGCTACAAAACTTCTACGCAATGACTGCTACGGCGTAGCAAATTGCTACGAATGCCGAATTGATGTTTGTTTTAATATTTTACATGAATAAACGTGCGAGATTATTTATTGACTGATAATTTTAATATTAATTAAATCTGTTATGTCAGTTATACACAGTTAGTCGGTTGTCCGCGATACATATTGCATGAGGTTATTTATCATTTTATGCGAGTATTATAAATGTTATATTCGTCTCTGCACTCGCTCCACTCTGCCGAGCTTGCAATGTTCCTCCGTTCCTTATTTTATATTCTCGTAATGGATAATAATGATTTATTACAGCCAGTTAGCTGGCATGGTCGAACTGGTATATGTCATATAATATGTATATGACCTATACCAGTTCTCATAATATTTACTGGAAAAAGTTGAACGTAAATACTACATATTGGTTACAAATTTCGTCCTAAAATAGATCGTATGGTTGTCTGCCAGTTCGAATATTTAGTTTTGCCTATGGAAAAATCTTTTTTGATGGTAATATTCCTTGAGTCATTGAACTATACGACTGATATAACGATTAACTCAAAGCACACAGGGGATGAAAGTAAATTCAGTTTTATCTGTTTTATTTCGTATAATATAAAATTGAATATGGATACCAACTTCACCTTATATTTAAAATTAACGTAATATTAGGTTGTAGTAATACTAGTTACATGAAAAACGTATCGGTACTTTCTGGCGAAGGAAAAGGTTTGAAATTGTTGTCGAAGCGTATTAACACACGTTATACGTAATAACGTTCGCCTACAAGTACGATGTTTGTAAGACTTCCTGAGTAACAAACTGTAATTCTCGGTGACAGCCACATTTATGGCGAGTTGATTTTCAGTACCGGAAACTCCGCCATGTTGCGTGGACTGAGTAGCGGAAAAGGCGAAACCTCACTTCCGGTCAAGGCAGGCTCGTTGTATTTTCTTTTTTTATGGTTTCTTTGTGAGGCAAAGAAATATGAAAGGTTCAGTTTGAACCCCGTACATGTGTTTACTTCTACTTAATGAGATAGACTTCCTTATTGCATTTGTACAATGCTGAACATATTTAATGTTTTTGTTTTCTTATTGTGTCATTGCCAACAGAAAAGAGGATAAGTTGTGTCCAAGATCAGTGTAAAACTCATAGTTTGTTAGTGAGTTTAGTTGTGTGCCAGATAGAAACAATTGGGAGCGTTGTCATAAAAGTTAATAAAGCAATAAGGTCAGGCTAGTAAAATGTTCGCTGCACGCGCTCAGCTCCCACTTCGCACAATTTTTGTCCGCGTCTCCGTTTGAGTGTTTCATATTGAAGTTGCTTTCATAACGGCTCCTTTGTAAATTATTAAGTATTTGAACAATGTTTTTCTTGTAAGAAAAGGAGACTCGACTTATTGCCAATATTATAGCGAGCCTTGTATAGTCAGAACAATAACAATGATGAGAGAAGATACCTATTTAACTGATTACATAGATAACGCTTTTGTTTGATATTAATAATATAAATAACGGAAAATTAAATATAAGGATGTAAAAGTCATAAATTTCTCAAAGTAAACAATAATTTTAATAACGTCTTTTTTAATTTGAAATTAATTACTCATAATTCTTTATAATCACTTATAAAGAATTTCAAAAATTATAATGTCGGTCAGGGAAATGTATGGCCGCTATAAAAATACTATAACAATATAGGGCTGTACTGTAAACAATAAAATATAGCACATTAAAACTATTAACACACATAATTATGACTAATAAGTTTATAAATAGTGCCCTTCATTAACAAACGCTGCGATAAGATCTGTCCTTACGTGAATAAAGTCGGTGCATGGTAATGTATGCTTATAAATCTGCATAACTTCAACTGACGTCGACGTCGAATGAAAAGGAAGTGTCAAGAAAGTTTTATTGGGACCGCGCTATCGTTGTAAAATTTACGAGGGCGGTTCTGGTTTCGCCGTAAAATGTATTTGTCAACGATAACGCTGTAAATGGAGCGGTGATTCCGAATGAAACCCGTTTTCATCTTTCAACAACAATGTTTTGGTTTTTCAATTTGTTGATATTGCATTGTAAGTGAAATAGGTTGAGATAAAAACTTCTAAAAGACGTTTGATTGACATTTTACGTATATGTAATCACATGCTAGTCTTTGTTCAAAGGAATACAATTATCAAGTAGCAATCATTCTACTGATTTTATGACGTGACACCTGATCGAAAATTGAAAATGACAACAGCTAAATATTTTGGATCCCTTCTATGTGTCTCGGTTTTTATCAGTACATTTAAACACATCTAACAATACGGATAAAAACATGTACGGACATGCTTTTGTGTTCTTAACGTATGTCATTTATTGACCAATCAATCGACACTTGGTGAATATTGACATTATTGTTTGAAACTTATTCAATATCTACGTATAAAACTATAACACGTTGCCCAAAAATTCAGGCCTTTTTCTGCGTGTTGTAAGAACTCCATAAACCTTTCTCGAGGCGAATATGCGCATTCCATTTAGTTATTACTCGGTGGGACATAGCGGCCATATTGCGTGCGACCGGGACCCGAGCCCCGTGACCCGCCACCTGTAATTACAAACATAAACCTCTACCTGTGTACAAATAGTTTAATGAAAGGGTGTTTAGTTACGTGACCCACTAGTTACCTGCAGCCCTTGATGAGTTAATACTGACAAATTAAGAAGCAACGTAATGATGCGAGGTGTAGTCGCATTCACGGTGATACAATACATGTAGCTATAAACAAGATGTTCGTGGGTTTGTTTGAACGAGGCTCAGCCTGATCACTTTAATCCCTTAATCATTAGGGAATCCACCATTAATGAGGGATTCAAGCAATTGGTATTACGCAGATTAGTAATAGTGATTACAAATATGTATGTTGTTTCTATCACACTAGGAATATTGAAATATTTGTTTTACGATGCAATTTGTTTTGATTGTAAACACATTAAATAAAACGAAAATTATAAAAATAGATAACATTGAAAGTACACGTTGGATTCAAAATTGAGTTTAATTGTAGATGAATCAATTACAAAGTCTATTCCAATATACATGGTGGTACTTAAATCGATTTGTTCTATGATGTTTTGTGGCACTTAATAACTGAATATTATTCATTCACAAAATGTGTCATAGCTGATCACTATCTGGAAGGTGATCTTGAATCTATTTCTGAAATGAAACTATCGGTAACATTTTCCTTTGTAAAATGTTTTACTATATATTTTCTAACCTAGATCAAATCTCGATCGTACGAATCCTGAGTAGGTACCTTAGTTTATGGGTCGCTCCAGTGAATCTATCTAGAGCACGGAGCGTGTCGTCATTTTATGACTTTATTGGAATATCGGTAATAATAGAGAGAACTTTGACTTAGTTTTACAGTGATTTCATTATATCGAAAAACTGAGTCAAATGGTTCAAGATCTACGAGTTTATATTCGGGGCAGGACAAAAGATAAATGTATCTACACGTGTAGGTAAACGTACATACGTATTGCGGTGCTTTTAAAATATTCCTGATCTGGACAAAATCAGCAACAAAACAATAGCAGTAGAAATTTGTAACCTACTTTCTAAACAAGAACACAAAACCGAAGGCTTGCCAGATTATTAATTGTGAAAATGTTTTATGGTATCTCGATATTTGTGTTATAAGAGTAGAACAAATAGGAGCAAGTTTCTAGTGTACCCAGCGAGTGAGTCCCGCGGGAGGAGGAGGGAGCTATCTGCTCTCAAATTATTCATTAACTTAGACGAGCACTCTGTGCGTTCACCGTCACTGTTTGTGGTTGGCTAACGTTATTACCTCTAGCTTTGATTTCTACCAGTATTTATCTTTTGAGCTCAGATGTACATTTACTCTTTTTTATTTAAAGTCGTCATATTATGCTTTTCAGTGACGTTCTGTTTGTTTGGTCAGACAGTCAGTAACATGTTCTCTCTATTCGTTTTTCCAGACAGCAGCTGTCCCCACCGGACTCGCAGCCGGCCACAATGGAGCTCATTATCTTGCGCCGGCTCCGACTCACCCAACTGAAAGGTACCGCACCCTAATGCCAACTATTTTCACATTACCCGCACACAACGCTTCCATGCAAATGACCCTCACATCAATGAAACTTCGCTCGAAATAAACCTACGTCACTATCGCTCTATTACGAAATACCTTTCCATTGAGGTTTTTAGTAGCAGGCTTTGTAAGTTAGTTCTAAAAATAACGCAATGGATTGTGTAACGACAGTTCATGTTTGTTGTTTGTTTAGTGGTGTGGTAGTAGTGTTCCAGACGTCAGCTGATGCGTGTCGCTGGCGGCCTCTTCAGATCAATAGTTCGGGGATAGACGCTATGCTGTAACGGCCCTTTGTTGGCGACTAGAAACTCTCAACGTATTCCTTACTTATATTATTACTAGTTACTTTATCTTATTTTTAAAACAGACATTCCAGTTCTTAATAGAATATTTTAATACTTGAATTACCTAATAACAGATCTGAAAAAAAAATGGACGGTATTTGTCTTATTTTAGTATTTTCATTAATCTGGAACTCTTAATTGCGACCTTAGACACAATTTAATTATGTCACAGAAATAACATTAGCAAAATACATAATTCTTTGAACATGGACGACCTCGGTGCCTGTTGGGCAATATTAAGTAGATTAATAAACTTTGTTCAGAAGATCGTTAAAGTACGATATTATGTAGGAGTTTCCTGTTACTGGGGCGATCGATTCATTAGACGGACTTACGGGTTTTTCCATCAGCGCGTCAGGGATTAGCCAAGTATTGCTTCCTTAGCTGCGTCTGCTCCGCCTAGGTACGTGGTGCCGCGGATTATCTGGTATTACCACCCGATGGACTGATAATTGGTATCGAGCATCGAACTCGAGTTTATCACACTTGATCCCATTCAACTAGCATAAATTAATTGTAGTGGATTTACTACTTTATTTATAAGAAGCGAAAGATTTATACTATATATAGAAGTGGTAATGTGTTGTACCTATACATTTTAAATGTGTAGCAAACTCAGCTACAATATAGGTCAATGGTTGCATTTGACAAATTTATTTGGAACGACGGAAACCGATTTGAAGGCATTGAAAGTCTTGCATACAAAACAACATAACTACATTTTTATTTCGTTTGTGATTCAAAAATTCTTTTCAAATTCTTACAAATTGTTGTTTGCTTTTTTTTGTTGTTCAGTTGGAAATAGCGACAGTTTTGGAATTCCTTGTTGTCGGTTATTGTGCATTTATTGGAGGTGCGTCGTTTATCGTAAGCTGAGAGTGGGTTACGATGTCGATAAGACACGGTGCCCCTCTATCGGTGAGATTGCTTTTATATAAAGGTCCGGTCGTGCTCCCATACCTGTGTAACGCCGCACCTCCCTAACCTCTTATGGCGTTTACCTTTATCCACTTGCTTTTGAAATTCAAATGACATAAATTCACACACTGATGTACATAAATGCTTTTGAGGCAAATTGTCATATGAATGCGGAAGGGATTAACTGTGTCCGACGTCCTTTCATAGTGATAATTCCGAATTTAATGACCTGTTACGTTATTATACAAATATAAGTTAAATGAAATACATTTTTGTCACGAAATATTATAGACAAACTCGTGAATTAAGAAGTATATAGGTGATTTTGATTGGCAGTTACGTAGTTATGTCTAAATACTAATATCATGGTCAGGTTCTTTAGTCCCCAATATGTGTGTTAGGTTTAGTTTAGAGCGATAACTGCTTTGGTTTCTTAATGTTTTCTTACTTACCCAAAAACAGTTTTACTAGCCAAGGACCTCAGCCAAATAAAGTATACTTCATGGGATTTTATAGTTCACTTCAGACGAATGTAATGAAAAAGTTTTTATGACCTGTATTGTTCATGAAATAAGGGTGCATAATAGTTCTCAGAACTCGTATATGGCGTTTACAAGTACTGTTAATGGCAGTCGTGCCATTTTTTTCTCGAGATATAAACATACGATAGCATTTAACTGCAAATCATTCGTAGCTCTAAATATAGCTGAGTTCTGCCATTCGTAGGTGCACGCTACGAGTGCGCTACGAGCGGGTTACGAGCGTGCTACGTTGCTACGCCGACGCGCCGTCTCGCTACAAGGTGCCGTTACGTGGCGCGGTTGAAATATTTCAAGTTTCTAACTATGCGAGCGATTATAAGCGCAACAACTAAGGCTTGTAGCGACAATTTTGACACTATTACCATGTTGTCATAAGTAAGTACAGTATTGTTACTCACAATTTTGATTAAGTATTGACGTTTTCACACTGTAGATAAAGTGTGAACCTACTTTTACCAGATAAATTATTAGTATCATGATGAAATTTATGAGGACGTTATACAAGTAAAGTTGTAACTCTTCTGTGACTGCACTTTAATAAAACAGATTTCAATCATCTTCCAGTTGTCGTGCTGCGGTACTTAGACGGAGATATTATTATTGATTTTCTCGCGAATAACTGTAGGACTTGACTTTTTCACTCGTAGGTAAAAAACTGAGATGTTATGTAACATCTTAATATTGCATTGTGTTTGTCTGTTTCTACCATTTATATGAAAATCACGACGACCGCATTTTCTACATTACCATGTGGAACTAGGTGTGAGTCAGATAAAAAAGTTTTATGTAGTCTATTTACGAGTGTTTTATGTAAAGTGAGGGTGTTGAATCGCGTGTCAGATGCTAAGTTTAACTAGGCGGCGGCGGCGCGGCGTGGCGCGGCGTGGCGTGGTGCGGCGCGGGGCGGCGCGCTGCCATGTGTGTGTGTGTGTGTGTGTGTGTGTGTGTGTGTGTGTGAGATACACCGCTGCACGATGCACTGCGGGTACACAGTACTTCGCTGCACTAATTCATGTTCATACGTCACTGCCTCCGTTATCAGGTTCCGGTGGCGTGTGCAGCAATACCATTTATACGAACAATAATCTATTAAAACCGTTCGCTGAGGTAAACGAACCTGAGTATTTATCACTTGGATCCACTTCGAATGCAACTTGCGGCTGAATCAGCGCGGACTGGAGTGCCGACAGCGTCACATCGTCAGTTCGGTGTTACGACATCTATTGAATTTTAACAAAGGGAGCCGCTGAAACAATCGTGCACCCGATCCAATCTTTCATTAATTTACATAGCAATTGTTTACACTTCATCGAGTTCGCAATAACAAACAGCTTGCAAACGACTTTCCCGAATTGTCTATAATCACGTGAATTTGAAATGACCTACGTGAATAGGTTAATATACAATTAAATTTGGTTGGGTTTTTAAACTTATTTGAACAGAGGTCGTGTAGGCCATTCTAGATCATAAACTTGATTCAACCTTTCAACACTACGAAGTGCTGAACTCCGAGATATTTACAGTTTATCGGATAAGAGTTTATTATTCTTTTACGGAAAGTGGATTCCTAAAGTAAACATAAAATATGTGTATTCAAATGAAGTAGCAGGAGGGTTTATGTAATATATTGTACGGCATAAGTTGACACTATTCAGTGAGGAAGGGGTTATGTGGTAGATGCGTCGATTGTGAGGATCCTTTAGTCGATGTTCGCTTGTTGTCACGAAGCGGACGCCGCACACACATAATACATACATACTCTCTAGATATCCATCTATTGTAGCGTGCCAATGACTGCGATGTTTATACTTCGTGTTGTATTATAAAATGTTTTACATACATAGTCAACATTTTTCACCCACGACTACAATATTTAACCTATTCTATGCATTTAGTCATTCCATTGTTGTATTTACCTTTCAAAATTTTTGAACTTTCTTTTTCTTGATACATATCACATTTACAATGGTTTTTGTAGAAGTATGTGTTTTAACCAGTATTTTGTCAAATAACTAAGGTTGTAAGTAGTAAAAAACTTCACAACAGCCTATATTTGTTTAGTTAGAAGTAGGTAAGTATAACTACGAAATAATGAATGTATGTACAACGCAACTAAATAGATAACAGCGTTGTTTGGAAAAACACAGGAGTAAACACACTTGTTAATGTTCGATAAAATGAGAACATTTTTATAACACGTAGATATAATAGCTAAGTCGTTCATCCTTTTTATTAAAACGCGAATGATCGTAATCGGGGGTTAACAAGCGGAAAATTAATTAGGGGCGATAAGCGTGTTTGTCGTGATAATTAGTAGTAAAGTCGTGTTTACGTCAATATTGTAGCCTTACGATATATAGTACATGGCGAGTGACGCAGGTGCTATCTACATGTGCTTGTACTGTTGGCAACAATAGTGCCTCCACACTAATTGAATATTGAAATAATTACTCGTTTATTTCGACATGTGTGTGAGGAAATTAAGAATAAAAACATTTAAGGCTTAAACTGTCAAACACCGAGCGGTCACCGGTGACCGCAACCTATTGTTCTTTAATTTTGTCTATAATAACAGTACTCAACGAGTTAATCAACAAAATCAGTTGATGGCACATAACACTATTGTTATTATACTTAACACTAATTGTAATTAGAATGTAAATTGAATTATAAATTATAATTGTAATTCAAAGTTTAACGTCTCGGTTGTGACGTAAGAACGTAGAATGCTAATGTGAGTAAAGTTAGTGAATCCTTTATGTACGTCGCTAGGGTCGAACTCGAACAGTCCTCCAGAGATAGTTGGGATCTAAGTTGGCTGGGCAGACTCTGGAACTAGTTGTAATCAATAGGGAGACTTTCGATTCCACGTACAGAGCAACCTATCCACACTGTTAATAGTTTAATCCAGGATTAAACTGTATGAAACTTTATTCGGTCAGAGAATATTTAAACCGAGGATTAAGAAATTTAATTGCATGCAATGTTATGTTTATATCGATTCATTGAAATTGGTTACCATCATTGATTTATCTTAATAAGAAATAGAGGTAGTTCTAAAAAGAAAATTAGAGATTAATTACAAAGAATCTATTCTCATAACATCACGCCATTTATTCCTAAAGGGGTAGGCAGAAGTGCACATTACGGCACCCAATGGCACTGT